CCCCAAAACCCCAAAACCCCAAAACCCCAAAACCCCAAAGCAAATTAGTAGTATTGAAATTTACCAATTAACATAAACCATATAATTGCTTGTTCTACATTTGGTTAGAAAACTATCAGAAAGTTGACCTGTGTTTTATGAAAGATCACTGATATGATGAATACCCTCTGGAGAGTTCCCAAGCTGATAGGGCAAAGCTTTAAATTTTAAATTTAAAAAGTAATCATTTGTATCAGAGCTGAATCAATATCGACAATTTGTTTGCAGGTTTAGAAAGGAATAAATTTTGGAATGAATATTTATGGTTTATGGGTTGCCAATTTGAATTCTTTTGTCACTTATAGCTTCCCATTATTGCAATTTTGGCATTTTCATTGAGAAGTTCATTTGGCTCCATGCTTTTTGCACTCACAGTACTTTAAGAGTCAAGCTGAATTTTTACATTTGCATCCTTTCTTGTGCACCTTTTCTCGTTCTATAGCACTACTAGTCCTTTCCATTGCTATTTCAGGAGGTCCTTCAGCTGAGCTAACGCTCTGAGCAGGAAGCCGTGTTAAGAACTTTGGGGTAAAGGCTTCGGGATCTTTCTCAATGATCTCTCTTTTAAATATCTCAAGCTGCTCATTCTCTGGTAAATTTTCGCAATCCTTGCAAGTACAGTCGTTGCTACAGATTTTTCCTGCTGCGAAGCAATCACAATATCTCTGAATTCATCGATTCTTCTGTCAATCACATCCTTGTTTATCATCTGAAAGACAAATAAGAACTTAGGACAGAAATTATGAAACAAACGAAGGAATATATTAGTCAGAATTTTAGATAAACTTTACAGTTATAATCCACCTCTTTCTTGCTTGAGCGTGCACTCCGACGTGGTCTGAGTATAGGAGAAGGAATTCCAGGTATCATCGTACTTGATTGAGCCTTAGAAATGTCTTTTAGAAGCCTCTTTTTGGAATCAGGTTGGAATTCATTTTCAAAATTGAATTTTGATGGATGCTTGCTCTCAACTTTCGGATTATTTTCTTCTTTCTATTAGCCGTATGAATTTTTTGGATAAATAGGATCTACTTTTTGGTTTAATATGAGTAAATTTCTGAGGAAAAAGTAAGCTAAATTATAAACTAATTCCCAAAGCCAGAGTTTATAACCTATTTAACTATACTAATCAAGGTTATAAAGAGCTAGGAGAGAGTACGATAGCTTACTTTGATAGGCTTACTCTCAATATCTGTGGAATAAAGCTCTTTTTCCTTCCTGACCCCTTTCTTCTTCATAGCCATGCTTCCTATGGATTAAAGATTACTGACGAAATCCTAACCATGCAATCATAAAGAGACTAGGGATTAATTTATGAGTGAGAAGCATGCTCAACTATTTGGGTGTCTTATTAGAAGACCGTTGGTTTATTCCTCAGAATTTAGGGAAATTTTCGAAAAATGCATCGACAATGGGTGATAAGTTATCAGCAAGTATAGAGTAAGTCAGAAATTTTCATAAGGGACTAAAGTTTATCCTGCAGAGATTGAACCTAAATTTTTAGTTCATCTGATGCGAGGCATGGAGATTAGAGCCAAAAATTATCCTAGTACCATGTGTAAATTGTTGAAAAATTCGATCAAACTTTTAACCAAAAGAAAATTAGTGCTATATTTTCCGATATGCTTAAATTTTCGAAATAAAAGAGAGAATGTTCTGATGAATGATAAATAGTAAGCAATGTTGGGATAAATAAGACTCATTGCATATAAACTTAAAGCTTACTGATGCCGCTCTTCTCCTCCTTTTTGAGTTGTTTAGAGGGATCTCTAGAACCTTCTAGAAAATTTTGTGGCATAGGAGGGATTGATATTTCCTGAGGTTGATGAAAACCTTCATTATCGATTTCTTCGGTGATGATATTTTTGCTGATGTATGGGTCATTTATATTATCCATTTCATAATATTGCATATCAGATAGTCCTAGCTGACTTTTGGAGTCAGGAAAATGAAAGTTTATGTTTTCATTCTTTTCCTCTTCTTCATCAAATCTATTAGAACCTTCTAGCTCCTCATAAATTTGTCTATATTGCATGAATATAGTCTATTTTTAAGGAATCTCAATAAATTTAACAGAGGCCTCAACTTACTCTCGAATTATTGGGAACTCTTCTAGAGAAGGCTCTTCTTTTCCTAATTTACACACGTTGAAATTTGATTCAAAACTTGGTGAATTGTCGTTCAATGAAAACTTGGGAGTTTTAAGAAAGACTTTCAGCAGGAATTTTCTTATCCAAATCCTCTATTGGAGATGGTTGGTTTTTATCCCTATTTTCATCCTGTTTGTCTAAATCTATGTGGATTAATCACTGGATCCAGTATTCCTCACCTGGCTCTGGCTCTTCTTGGCCATAGTGAAAACTCATCAAAATATTATTTAGTTAAAATTTACGGATTTGGGGTTTTGGGGTTTTGGGGTTTTGGGG